GCAGGCAAGAGAAATAAGATTAAACTAAAACTGGCGATTATAAGTGTAAAACTACAACTGAAAAAGGTGGTCCTGTTGTGGCTTAAGGTGCAAGAACAAGAGGAATTACATTTGCGTTAATAAAATAAGGTTTATCTGATATTTCCAACAACAGTTAGACATTTCTTTATTGTTACTATGACAACAGCTACAATGGAAATAGATAGGAATTTAGATTCCTGCCTCCAGCTAAGCAAGCCCTGAATGTTTACACCACCAACATACATTCGCATACACAGATATCATTCATCAATAATTCAAAGTTGTCCGTTAGTATCCATAACTGACATAATCCACGGCAAAACATATGTAAATAGATACCTTTTGGATTCGCCTTCGGTTTGTTTTACCCTTCAAACATGGCGGCGGTTGGTTGCTACGCAGGTCACATGATTCGTGACGTAACGCCGACCTCGAGAATACGTGCTCTATGGTGGCACCATGGATGTATTATATTAACTGGATAGGGTATTACTAGCTTGTAGCTGAATAACTCACGTGCTCAGGGGATCCTCGCGGTACTGCAGACTGAACCAGACTAAATTCACGTGGGCTACCCAGAAATGTTCCCCATAGAACTCAATGCATATTAAAACAGCTCAACCTCAGCTGACAGAGAACCTACAGCTTTCATAAAGGTCGGATTTTGTGGGGATTTTAGTGTCCCTTGTCATCCTGAACTTTTTTTCTTCTTAAATCCTTCAGTTTTGTTTAAATCCACACTTTAGTGCCACAAACTCTGCTCCTCTGGCTCTCGCTCTAACTCCCGCTCTGATGAACTGCTCTGATTGGTCAGAGCGCGGCCGAGCCCCTCTGTGCACGTGCGTGAGACCCGGTGTGAGACCCACACACGCGTGTTTGGCGCAACGCATTATGGGAGATCATCCACTGCGCAGAACCGGGAGGATCAGACGATGCCCAAATACAGGCGAGTTTCCCATAGATCTTTGCGAGTTTCAGGCAACTTCCGCTAATCTTTCAGCCCCCATGCTGTCACAAAGCGCCACTGAGCACAACCATTCATTTGAATACGGCGCCATCTTGGATCGCCGGGGCTTGGGTGGCACCTGTCTGAACTCTGCCACGTGCATGTTGACGTTTTCCCGTCAAGAATATCAGCCCCTTCTCAGGATATCAGCTCAAAGTTAGCTCAGTTCAAAAGTATTCCACACATTATTCATACTCGTGTCGTAAATATATACAGTCTATGGTCGTACCACTTCCTTGGTCCAGGAGAGCTGGGCAGGTCGACAGGTTTGGAGCAGGTTTGGAGAGAGACCTGCATTAGTGATGAACGCTGGATTTTCATTTCAATGACGTAACAAGACACATGTTCAGTTGCTTTCTTTATTCAATATTTCACATTTTTAGATACCATGCTACACAACTTTGAATGTAAATGTAAACAATAAATCTGTGTTATTTTTCTTTATTTAAAAAAAAACCCAAAAAAACATTTACAACCGGAAATTCTCATCAAGAATGAAACACCGGAAAACATTCAAGCTTATCTCCATGGATCTATAATAATCATAGACATAATAATAACTTATCTCCCCTGTTGATTTTTGTATTATTATTTTATTATTAATTTTTGAACAAGGCCCCTTAAACTATGCAGTGATTGTGCGGCATACTTCTATACGTATACACTGAAGGTTCATGTATCGTTGCTGCTGATGCTTCCTTTGTTGTTTGTGCTTATCTGCAGCTATGGTTTTAGCACCCAAATGCAAAGACTCTCTAAAATTTTTGTATTTCGTGCCACAGCTACAGTAGCTACTCCTTACCTAATACTAACAGGGTTACCTTTTTGTTTCATAAAAAATCCATGCTGAATTTTACTTTTACAAGAGGCTTGTAAGTAAAATGCTGTTAATTGAATAAATCAGACCACCACACGCTGTCTTCATCTTTTGTACACTTCAGCACCATCTAACTTTCAGCCCAAAGAGTCACTGTTTCCCTTTTATCTCTGAAGATGATTACATGCATGTCAAAACCATAGACTGCATGTCAAAAATTGTGATTTTAAAAGCAAGGAACAACATAGATGTTTTTACATATTTCTTTTTTTGTATGGTTTGAAAGTTAGGTCCCTCAGATTTAACTGTTAATTAACTGTTCCTAACACCTTAACATGATTATGACTCTAAAGAAAAACATTTTCCACCATTATCTCTTCAATAAAGAGAATATACTTTTGTATGTACAGCCCATTATGACAACAGCAATCTCAAGCAGGCTAAGGTTAGCCAAAGGGCAGATGAGAAAGATAATACAGAGATTTTAGTGAGTCCTGTGAAGACATGGGGCCCAAGACAACAATATTTTTTACTATGAAACACATGTATTATAATGATAATATTAATAATTCATAGAATGTTAATCAGGTATCTATCTAATAGATAATCAGAGAGGGCGCCATAACAATATCAACTCTGCAATGTTTTTGAGTCAAAAGCTAATGCATAGTACAAAACACTAATGCTAGTTATTATGCCAACCATTGGCACTGATTGTGCATTACTATTCCAGTCATATTTACATTTATTTTGATATCATCTACATAAAACAGCATGTTTTAAAAGTAAAGGTGGAAGCAGGACATCTGATCTTTGAAAATAATGCAAAGATCAGTGAATTCCTGTATTGATTGAAATGTACTGTAGCATGGGCGTCTCTTCAGAACGTACTTATGTTAGAAGTTACATGTATCCATACAGGAAACTGTTCCAGCTACATCCCACAGTACTCTCCAGAGCGGCTTCACATCCACAGACAGATTAATACATTCAGCACCGTGTGCAAACCACAACATGTAATAACAAGCACTGATTACATTCAGAAAAATGAACATTAAGGCTTTGTGATCTACAACGCCAACACAGACCATTGAAGTATTACAACAGAGTAAAGCAGGAGATGTTGTTCTATGGTACTTTCTCTTTATTCCTCAGTGTATTTTATACCGTAAGGATATTTTGAATAACAGAGAAGCCTTAAGTTTATTTAATCCTGTATTCTTTAACATGTATGATTCCATTAAGACTGAATTATTCCGTTCTTAATTCCACAGTTTACTCACTCCATTAACAAACACCAAACAATAACCTACTTTTTGAATTGTTGCTTGAACACTTGAATGAATCTGTTGGCATGAACATTACATTGAAAGTCGGTGGAATAACATTTAAAAAACACTTAACAGTCATGAAATGTATTACAGTTTGTAACTGAATGAACAATTTTCAACCCATTATTTAGTGCCGTATAAGCAGTGCACTCTTTTGTGTATTTATTAAGATCTTATTCATGTTTGAGCTTATTCATGTTTTACAGAAATAAAATACAATATTATTTAATATTGTAGCTGCACAATAACAGAAGAATAGAATGTATTATTATCTCATACTGTTTTTTTCCACTGCCGGCAGTGCACAGTATCAGATAACTTAAAGTGACGGATTCAGAATTGCAATATACATACAGCTTAACAAAGCACCATGGACTCATCAATGTCTAGATGTGTGTAGTTGTGATACATACATGATTTCAGAAGACATAAATAAATACTAAACTACTCTTCTCTTAGAAAGAAGACTCTTTTTATTATGTTATTTTTTTGTACTTATTCTGTGTGCATATGTAATGCAATGTGAGATGATTTCTAATATATAAAAGGAGTTCTCCCAGAAATAGTAAAATAAATAAATATTGAGCAGCAAGTTTAGAGGTTCCAAAGTATGCACTTCTAATACAATCTTAGGCTAATACTAATACAACACATGGTTGATAAGTATTTTAGAACAAAACTGCACATTTGACGCAAGTACACAAGTATAAAGTCATTCTTGATTTTTTTCAGAAATGTTCGGATATCCAGAAATCTTGTTTCACGAGACACTGAATGTGTTCTTGTAAAGTAAAGCCCTTTACTCGTCGTGTGTTCATAAAATAGAAATGCTTCCTTGGTTTTACACTGACCATCGCAGTGAAAGTGAGCGATGGTGTGTGTGAGGAGTCCTGTGGTGACGCTGTCCTGCACGCCTCAGAGAGTTCAGCTGCTGGTTGTTACAGAATACAAGCAGCATTTGAGTTTGTTTGTTAAAGAAGACATATGATGCAGTTTAACTTTGTCATTTCATGTATTAGAAGAATGTGAATACATGTGTTATGTTGAACCTGTATGTAATACAAGCATCAAGGGTAAACAATGATGTACGACTGCAGCTCTCTAAACTACGCTATGCCTCCAAATCGGCATAGCGTAGGTCCAACTGACAGCCAAAGTGACAGGAGCACGATTTCTGGGTACCACATGGTCTTAACGTGGTACAAAGAGTTAGGGTTGGCAATTGAGAAGCAAAGTACCACCACATCAGACCTAATAACACAAGGTCAAAAACTACCTAAACCTAAACCTACCAACAGATGGGAGTTTTTTTCTGATTTCTCCACAATTACTGGCTGCAAACACGGCCATGTAAATGTAAAGAATATAATTCCACCTGTTCCACAGGACTGAGGAATTTTTACATGTTTGTGCCCGAAGTTTCTGATAAGTAGTAAATCTGTATTTCTATAGCGCATTACATAGACCAAGGTCAAAAAAATGTGTTACAATTTTGTTGTACCAATGTTGATAATAATAGTGTGGATGGATCAAAAACATCTCTTAGTCTGTTTTGATGAGTAAACAAAGTTGGTTAAAAGCTCAAAAACGTAAATTTGCATAATATGTTTCCATTAAAAGTGCATCACTGTTGATCATGTTAGAGAATATAGTCATGGCAAATAATGTACCAGTCTGATCAAAATGTATGTTTAAATAACAACAAGAAAAACACTATTGACCCTGCTGACCAAGTTTTTGTTTCTACTTAAAAGATAAGGAAAGGGTTGCAGTAGATAGCAATAATCAAATCTACTGAGAGGGTGAGCCTTAGCAGTATGCTATGCTAGATTATAGCAGAAGAACTAGATGAAGGGGAGTGTGAGTTGGGAGAGGACGGGTGGTTCCAGAAAAGCCACTTGCGTTTACACTGTCGTCTCTGGTACAGGTAGTCCTCCTTGTCACGCTCTTTTCGAGCTCTTTGGTAGTGGTCATCCTCTTTCAGATACCATACAGGCGGCCAGCGATGCTTCTCAAAATATTCTTGGTTGTCTGCAGTGCAAAAGAGCAAAAATTAGTCCCCAGAAAAGATTGTTAAAACAATCATATAAATCCAGTACTACCTCCAGATTTGGCCTTCATGTCTCGAGGAAACTTTCTGCATACACTGTTATAGTTGGTGCATATGTGGTGCAGACACCAGCCGGTAAGCTGCTGTGCACAGTGAAACTAGGGAGAGAATAGGTACATTGTTAGTGCTTTCAGCTTTAAAAATGACCTATAATTTTGGGGAAAAAGCATTCATATTACCTGAGCCATGTCTAAATACACCAACACATCCCCATCAATGTCAGCCCCCATCACTGCAGCTTCTGTCAATACTGTCACTGTGTAGAGCTCTGACAAAGAAAAGAGACGCAGTTATGTATGTAAGTAGACTCACCAAGCCACATGAAGGAATACACAATTATAAATAATAGCACCCGTACCTGTAAGAGCAACTAAGTGAGGGAGGCAAAGACGATTGGCGAGAACAATGAGCTCCATGGCATCCAGGTCTGGTCTGGAACAAAAGCGGCCAGTGTAGAGATATTCAAGCACAGCCCGCATGCAGCTACGTGTTGTGTTTGGAAACAGAACCTTAAAAAAAAAAAATATATATATATATATTATAATACTTCTATTGTACATCATAGCAATATGTTGTTATTGTGAACAAAAGAAAGCTACAGCAGTTTTCTGACCTCTTTGGTGCTGCTCTCCACAAAGGGGCCACCAAACATTGCCGCCATCCAGTCACAACTTGCAATAAGCAAAGGCTTGTGAGCCATAATTGTACCGTCATCTAATTTGAAGACAACATCTGTAAGGGAAAATTGCTTTATTATAGAGCTCCTTGTGACTTACACAGAGACAAACTGCTGGACACGTGTTTATTAACCTGAAAATGTGCCTTTGGCCAAGCACTCTTTTACCCGGTTTGTGCGTCGTACATGAAAAGCTTTGGTGATTTCTTGGTTCATGAAGGCTTCATTGTTCAAAATGTTGGCCACCATCATGCGCAGGTCAAAGACCTCCAGCTGCTCAGCAATGTGTGCAATGTGCATTAATTCTTTTTCATTCTCATCAAGCTGACCTGTGTATAGATATCGAAGCACTGCCCGGAAGGGGCTCAGCTGCATGGACTGGTCCATATGCACCACAGTCATGGGGCGAGGACTGTACGTTATTGGGTCATCCACCAGTTCCTCTTGAATGCCAACAAAGGCTCGGCTCCAGGACGACAGCAGTCTTCCGTGCCTGCAGCCCTCAGAGTCCCTCAAGGTGCCATCACTGGTGCATGCCCTCAGGTTTGCCCGGTCTCCTTCATCACTACTTTCACATACGTCAAAACTAGCAGCGCGCATCAGCAGTTCTCGGCCCTGAAGATGTGCACGTGGCGGTTTGTCAGCGTACTCATTCTGTGTTTCCATGATGAAGAGGTCATAGAACTTTGAAGATGATGTTGCCAAATATATTTTATGTGCAAATATTTTTTGCCGCTCCTGCAGCACCAGGATAACATCGGCACAGTGAGGGTCCTCCAATAGCCCCACAGGGTGCTCCTCTGTTGTGGCTGGTGGGGGAGGCACGGTGATTATTGGAGGTGGTGGTTTTGGTGGGAGGAAAGGAGCCTGAAGAAGAGGACGCTGAACATTTCTAAGGTGGGATTTCCAAAACTGGAGGTGTCGTCGAGAGATAAGAGCAGCCCGAATAGCATTATCAAAAACGTCTTTGACTCCAAACTGAGCAACAACACTAGTTTCATAATATGGCACCCCTAACTCTTTGGCCACTTCACGGCCTCTCTCTGGAGGAAGGATCTCATTCGATTTTATTGGCCTGTAAAACAATATTTGTGGATTTAAACAATCTTAGATTCACCATTCTTTCATAGCTCTCACCTTGCCAAAGGCCTCCGTGCTCTGTTCACTGCCTCCAAATCGGCATAGCGTAGGTCCAGCTGACAGCCAACCAAAATGACAGGAGCACGAGGGCAGAAGTGCTTGATCTCTGGGTACCACATGGTCTTAACGTGGTACAAAGAGTTAGGGTTGGCAATTGAGAAGCAAAGTACCACCACATCAGACCTAATAACACAAGGTTATCTATGAACAGCAGAAATAAACAGTGTTTGACTCTGAACCTTATTCTCAGACCTGCCATATGCAAAACGTCGATCTTTATGATGGTCTCCGAAAGTGTCCCAAAGACGGAGGGACACACTGACATCATCCACAACATCTCTGGAGCGCTCCAATACCTACATACAATAACATTAAGTCAACAGTGTGAAAGTTTAAAACAGGTTTCACTACATACCTCTTGGCATACTCTGTACTGGTCGATGGCCCAGACGGTGGGAACATGAGTAGCTAATAGCTGGTACTGTGTTAGAGTTGCATTGCATGCTCGAGCACAAATGAGGCGTGTTTTTCCAACTGCATTGTCGCCAACTACCACACACTTAATAGTTTCCACGTTTGGCCTCTCATAGTCCATATCAGAATTCATAAATGGGGACCTATCAGGACAAAGAAGGTGCAATCATCATTACTGGCATTAGATTAATATAATGATATCAATGATTATAATAAAAATAATAATAAATACAAAATATGATGATATTTTGTGCGATGAACCATCTTGATGGGCCATTACCTCGACTGATCTGCAAAGCCTATTTCTGAGTTTGTGATTGTGCATTATACCCTTACTGGTCCTGGTCCAAGCATCTCTCAATAACTTCTGGTTGTATCCATTCATAAAAATGTCCGCTCATTGAACTGCTCTGCTGCACATAAACACAGGGCCTGCACCTGACTGCAAGCGGACTGTATGCTCTATGCTTTGGTGATCCATAACTGTCTCTGTTGTCCTTCGACACCTACAATTGCCTTTGCCTGTGAAACAACATCTAACAAACAGAAGATCAAAGAGGCTTGAGTCGAGGCGTGCAAGAGCAGCGCTTACGCCACAGAGTCATGAGGCTGCAGCATTATGCGTTATGTAACACCCACTCACTGGCTTTTGAGACAGTTTATGACGTTGCTCCTTCGGATACATGGTTCGTACATCGCAGGATATCGCATTTTTAGGACACAATATATTTTATGTTCTTACCGACATGTAAGAAACTGCTGTAAGGGCTTCGCTGATGAACGTGACTTGAAGCTGGACTCCATCGGATGCAATGTGCACCTGACGGCTCTGGGAGCTCTTGGTTAAATTCATCTTTAGGAAAGAGGCTGCAAAGCTTCAGGCACAGATACAGAACGATCCTCACCCAAATGTGCGTCACAGTCTGTTCACAGTCTGTGTCAGGGCGCCATGCGAAACGCCACAATGTTCACACAGTCGTGGATCCACCTTTACAGGCCGGCCGAGCTAATCATAGAGAGGGAGAGGATGAGAGAGGGAGAGGATGAGAGAGGGAGAGAGGGAGAGAGACAGTACCATGTAATATCCAAGAATGTCCACAAGATGAGGCTATTGCTCTACATTTTACATGACCATTTGAATCAATATTTACAATCATTTTAGTATTGTAACCGTTAGTGTTTCTTTTAGAGAATACATTGGCCACTTGAATTCAGAATATAAGCCATAAGTATACCACAAGGAATACATGTTTTGTGAGTGAAATACTTATTGATGACTCCAAAGTCCAAAGTCTATTTTGAAATGTATGCAGTAAGTGATCACACAGTCACTCTTTTAGTTCAACTATGTCTTTTGCTGAAAAAGATTCAACAAGGACTTTTAGCCTGGACTCCTACTATGTTTCAGAAGATCTGGGATTCATTCTGCATGAGCCTATGGTAGGTTAAAATACTCTAATGTAAACGTGACTTGTACCATTCAAAGGGTTATGTCATCACACTCATTGATGTGCATGATTATATTTAGATTATTGTTGTTGCATGTGCTCTAATTGGAAAACAAAGCAATTTAAGGATCCTATTTTGAATATACTTCAACATGTGAAACAATATTGTTTTCTATAACATGCAAATACACACACACACACACACACACACACACACACACACACACACACACACACACACACACACACACACACACACACACACACACACACACACACACACACACACACACACACACACACACACACACACACACACACACACACACACACACATACACACACACACAGCAGTCACACTCTTGAACTCTCACCCTGTTAAAGCATGTTTGACACACTTTAATGAAATGTAATGTAATTCATGTATACACTGCTGTAGCAGATCATACTGTTTCCTACACAAGCATACATTTGTACATACTTTGTTGTAAATAATATCCAATAGTTAAATACTAAACTACATTTTGGTACATTGTTCTGCATTAGAATGACAATACAGTTTATAATCTAATTTACTGTATTTTTGGACACCAAATTCAAATCTATGAAATAACTTTTAAGTGCATTTGCAGACAGAGCTGCCATCCTATTATCAGCCATGGATGGATATTGCCCTGCACCTCCCAGAGCTCGTGCTCTCACATGAGCTGCGCTCTCGTGTGAGCAGGGTAAGTCAGGACAACAAACTCAGTAGGACAGGTGACCCTGGTGTGAAGGTTCAGTGCTGTTGCCTTTGTCCAGATGCCACTGCTGAGCAGCCAGTATCTGCACTCGCACAGGGAGCTGCGGCTGGCCCACCTGGCTCTGGGCGCTACCACCATGAGCTACGTTTGGCAGGAGGGAGAACACCACACTGTCAAAGTACCTTTGTTTCATTCACTTTCATCACGGCTATTGCCCCACCTTGTTTGCCGTAGAGAACACAATCTATTTGTTTCAGTAGCTCCCACAAAAGTGAACAAAATTGAGTTCAAAGTTTAAATAGGACATGGGTTCACAGCCCAATAGATTCTGTCTTATGTTTGTTGAAACCAGAGGCTACTGTAAGATTTATTGTCACAGCTTTCCCCAATATCAACTGTTCAAGTTACCAATATTCATCGGACACCGGAGATATTGAGACATATAATACGTAGCCATTAAAGCCTCACTATATAAACAGCAAATCAAATATATATTATTAAATAGATTTTATTTCATTATTGTTAAAGGTGCTGCCACAGAACTTGGCTCTTCCATATTGGGAGGTATCAGAAAGATTAGGGCTTCCTCCCATCTTCATACACGCGGATGCAGTCTTGGCAAACTGGAAAAAACGGGATTCAGAAAAGTAATTCCTTTCACATTGTGCAATTATAAACTTCCAACAAACGTTACATTTGTGTGTAATTTATTCATGTGATGTCTTTCTGATTTCAGACCCTTTGACATTGCGTACGTTTGCAGATTCTATTAAGTAACACATATCTACAATAATAGGAATGGAGCCAAACTAATAGTTCCTAAATGTTATTTAGGAACTTGGATTTGGTGGTCAGACTGCCAGGTGGAGAAAGTTTGAGGGGTTTCTTCATGGTCACTCTCCTAGTGGAGCTTGCAGCAATTCCAGCACTCAAGGTTCAGTACATTGTGAAGTCCTGACTTTCATCCATTGTAAAATAAAAAATAGTGGGATTAAAGTATGTTTAATTCTGCAGAGCATTCCTAAAGTGTGCAGAGGAGTGAGCAGTGGGTACATTGTGGATGTGGCCCAAGCTCTGCAGGACATCAGCAAGTCTATACACGACATGACAGAGGCTCTCAAACTCATGCATGGTGGGTTAACTGCTATGCCATTAGTTTCAATGAAAAATGTTGTGTGAGTTTTTGTAGAATTATTATGATTTCATTTAATCAAATATTTGTCTTCACAGTATATGTGGAGCCATCTGTTTTCTATGGTATTATAAGGATCTACCTGTCCGGGTAATGCTATAAACTGCAGTGGTGAGAAAAGCAATGATGAATGGTTTGCAGACAAATCAGGATCAGACACAAGCATGAGAGAGCAAAGGCTCATACGAGAAAAGGCTTGATGAATATGCTCTGGCTATGTTTTTTGTTTGAACAATAAATACACAAAATGGCAGGAGGCAGATAGTATGTAACCTGTGCCTTACATTGCTTGAGCCTAATGGGTACTGGCTAATAATAAATTCATTCAAGTTAAATCTCCCTGGACTAATGGCAGTGGGGTATAAGATAGATAGATACAGTAGATAGATATTTCATTGATCCCCATTGAAGAAATTCAGGTGTCCAGTAGCAACAAAAACACATGCATCCACATGAGATGAGCAAACCATGAGTTTGAGTCATGACTGAAGGAATAAGATCAGTGATACAAGTGAAAGGAGTAGTGGCTCTACAGGAAGAGCAGTGTGAGAAGGTGAACGCCTCAGGATTCCCCCGGATGAGCTTGAGGAGTTGTGCATGGAAAGTAAAGTCTGGATGTCTATGCTCAGACTGCTGTCTCTACGAGCTGGTAACAGATAATCAATCAATCAATCAAAGTTTGTTTCTGTAGCCCTTTCCAACAGCCCCAAAAGGTGCAGAACGTTTTAATGTCTTCACAGAGCCTGCCCTTGAAGCTCTTTCACATTGTTTATGACAAATGATAATAAATTGCACCAAGCAATTGTTTTTGTTTGTCATTACCTAAATATGTTATGTATTCAAAGACCCAGTAAGCATATACAACCACTTACTAATTGTATTACATTGAAAACCATCATGTATCTCAACAGTTTTGATGGATGGAATATGTCATCTACAGTTGGAAAGACAATCCCAGCATGCCCAATGGTCTAATCTATGAGGGAGTCAGCCCTGAGCCCATGGAGTTCTCTGGAGGGAGTGCAGCACAGAGCAGCTTATTGCACTGTTTTGATGAACTTTTGGGAATCAAACACGAGGCCAAAGGCGGTAAGGCGTTTTACATTGTGTCAAATAACATAAATAATGTTTATTTAACATTTCTTCACCCTTATAGGGGCCTTTCTCACCCGCATGAGAGACTATATGCCCCCTGCACACACACAAATGATTAAGGACATCTCCAGTTGGCCTTCTTTGAGGTGTTTTGTACATGAACAATGTGATGAAGAGCTAAACCAGGCCTACCAGCTTTGTGTGACCGAGCTGACAGAGTTCAGAAACTACCACATCAACATGGTGAGTCGGTATATAACAATACCTGCTGCCCGCGCCCGCCAGCTGCGCCTTGAGAAGACAACTGAAGAAGAAATGATTGCGAAGGCGCCCACGGCTCTGGAGGAGAGAGGCACTGGTGGATCCAGCATTATGAGCTTTCTTAAGACAGTCAGGGACGAAACAAAACAGGTCTTCCCAACTGTCAACAAGAATTAACTTACTGTTTAAATGACGCCTTTAGCATCAAGCTGCATCTGGCTTTGTTCAAACTTCAACTTAATAGACTTGACAGCCATGGTTTAGCCCAGACCATTTTTCAACCCATTTCTGTTACTTCCCATCAAGTTTGACCACTAATTATATCTGCAAGCTCAAATGCAATAAAAAAACATTGCAAAATGAGAGAAAATTGCCCAGTGTCCATGAAAAGCAAATTCTTAACCTTGAAACAGAACAATTTTGTCTTTATTAAGATTCAACTTAACTTAACTCTACATCTTAACTGCTTTTTACTTTTATATACATAGTCACAGAAACATAAGGTCATTCTTGCTGTTAGACTGACTGTTTTTTGCCTAGATTTAAATATGTATATTTATATTAAAATGAAAGTTAGATTCACTTCAAAACAATTCATGGCAAGTCACCTACTACTGTAACTTTGGCCATTTAGAGCACTGATTGAATTAAAGCTTCATCAGACAAATGTCCTCACAATGAAATACTGTCTTCTTTGAAACATGACTCAAATCCTGCCATACAATCGTCTTGTATTTTTTCAACATGTATTTTGAGACAATGCACAATGCAGTGATGAGATGCACTGCTTATCATAGTGGTTACCTCAGCACTCTCTCATCTTAAAGCCCACGTCGAGCCTCCACTTGCCCCGAAAGACTTCCAGCTGGAGGAGGCATAAAGAATGGATTGTCCCACCAATGTCTCAGCCCTGTAATATTCAGCCTTTACCGGTGTACCCTTACAATGGTAGGATTGTGAAATCAGATAAGGTGAATGACATGACACCACCTTTAGAGCTGTTCTGTGCCACTTTGAGTCTCAGATATAACAAATACAAGTTATGATTGGATTACTATGGAAAAAATAAGTTCATAATGACTATATCATGAAAAGAGTTACCCCTACGACAAATAATTCCAATCTCCTAAATGTAAGGAGCTAGGAGCAGTCAAAAAACAGTTACAATTAACTTGAATTTAATGTTTGAGACACACACTGCACTTCGCTGCTCCATTAACTTTTGAGCGTCTTAATAATATGATGAGAAAAGCATGAGTGGGCAGTGGAGCAGACACTGTGTTCACATGTCACAGAGATCTGATTAGAGCTTCCACTCACAGCCAAAGTAAATAATCCTTTTTCCTTATTGCCCAAGTGCAGAGGACTCCCTGACAACTGCAGCTAAACAGCACATCTCCAAGGAAGTTCTCATTGTGTCGTGGAGGTTTCGTCTCCACTTGGCAGACTAATACTCTCATGGGTATTGCTTTGAGGACATACTTTACATGTTTGCAATATACATTTCAGGTTGTGGTTATATTTCTCACCATAATGTTTTCAATGGCAACAACGATTACATATATATATACACACAAATATACATATTCAGTACAGGCCAAAAGTTTGGACACACTTTCTCATTCAATGAGTTTCCTTTCTTTTCATGACTATTGACTGTAGATTCACACCAGGCTGTGTAAGGACTATTTGACCAATAAGGAGAGTGATGCATGCTGGGCCAGATGACCTGGCCTCCACAGTCACCGGACCTGAACCCAGTCCAGATGGTTTTGGGGTGAGCTGGACCATAGAGTGAAGGTGAAGGGGCCAACAAGTGCTAAGCATCTCTGGAACTCCTTCAAGACTGTTGGAAGACTATTTCAGGTCCTCTTGAAGCTCATCAAGAGAATGCCAAGAGTGTGCGAAGCAGTAATCAGAGCAAAAGGTGCTACTTTGAAGAACCCAGAATATAAGACATATCTCCAGTTTTTTCAAACTTTTGTTTTAGTATTTACATAATTCCACATGTTCCAATGGTGAAGCTTTTCGAGATGGAAGACATCTGGGAACACCAAATTCCACAGTGGGACAGTAGTGTAATGGCATAACACCTCACCCACATGGCCTAGTGTCAGTCAAGAGTGTGCATGAATGATGAAAGATTGGTTGGTAGCCTTCTGATTGAAGGAACATTCTGGTCAGAATTTTAACTACCATTTTAAATGTATTTTAAATGTAACCCATATAGGGTTTCATTTAAAATACATATGTTGTATTTTGTGTTACAGACAACCATCCTTTAGCATCGCCTCTGGAGGGCTGTGGCATCCAGTGAAAAAATTCCCATCAAAATGAGTCCGTATAGCTCCACACTGCAGCTCTACACACAAATTACAAGGGGCGATATAGTATCATTGAATCCAGTGAAATCCCTGCACCTGAAATTTGCAAGATAAACTTTTATTTTATTTTTCTTGAATGACTCGCTCTGTTGTCGCCCCCCTTAACTGAAACTGCTATGTTTGTATGTATCACACCCTGTGAGAGCCTTTATGCATCACCATTCCAGTCATGGCAGGTTAAAAGCTTCTCGATGTATGTCACGACTTAATCACTTCCTGCTCCTTTGACTTAAACTATAACTGCTCACAATCCCACCAACTTGACCCTCTTGAATGATGAAAAAGGTGTTGAATTTCTCTTCTTGTCAGTGGTGATCAAAGAGAGGTGACGGCAGTGACTGGACTGGGAAGCGGGCGTCACATTGCAGCATTTAGAGGTCCAGAGGGAAAAAAAAACATTGACATTTTGCTCACAGTGATATTCTTTTAGCGGTACCTCAACACATGACTAAAGAGAAATGTATTTTACAAGGTTGAAATCCACTGTTACCAAAATAGCCTAAAGTCCAACCATTTGTACAAGAGGTGCCAGCAAATGTGGAGCGAGTCTGAACTTTAGTTTTATAGCAATGGATTCTCTGTCAGGGAAGTTTCTATAGCTGAAATGTTTCATCGGAGGCCTTGGTGACACACTTTATTTTGGATGAATAAAGCAACATGACATTCAGATTAGCAAAAGCCCACACGTCACACACTTTTGTCCTAAAAGGTTACTAGAACTCTGTGCCGTGAATACCGGACAACCACCCACTTGAGTCACTACAGGTCAGGAGCAAGCAATTTAATAGCTGCAAAAAAGACCTTGGGGGACACAATCCTATTAGACTTCTTCTACAATGAGGTGAAATTTGTAAACGGATTGATTTGTAAATATAGAGACACAAAAAAGTTCAGCAACCAAAGAGAGAGTGAGTAAGGTTCCACATCCAAATAAGTGGTTTGCAGAGAGAGCACATGTACTCATATCTAGTTATCAAAAGAAACATTAAAAAAACACAATAGATTTCAGTTCAGAGCACAGGACAAATGTGTGTTTTTACAGCTGAGAATCTTAAATGAGTAAACTAAGTCTGGACTGAACATAAATTAAATGCCTCAATTTCTTTGATTTTATACACAAGACAATCTCTGAAACAATTTCCCTCCAGGACATTAGAATAGAGGTACTGTGTGCTTACTGTTTAAAACCTCATCAATAGTATCTCTAATCAATAAGATGGAAGTTTGATGACGTTGCATGGACTTTGTCTGTGATCCTTTGAACAAGACATGGAAAAGTTTGCAGTTCTCACTATCCCAACAGTTGAATGTCTCTTTTAGTTTGACCTCATAGTTAACTGGGTTTAGTTCCAGCATTACTCATTGCGTTGAATACCACACCTGGAATCAGAGTCACTAAGGATACTACATACAGTCAATATTTTACATCATATTCTAATCTTAAATTACATTAAAATCTTTTCTAATCTATTTATAGATAATATGGACATGTACAAACATCATGTCCACAATATTGTTTGTTAGCCCAGTAGAGTAAATAAAATGACCAGTCATTTTTAGTACCTTTTTAAGTACCAAGTTACTGAAATGTAATAAACAAGTAAACAATTTGACAACATATTTGCAACGTTATGTTTGTACGGCTCCGTAAAATTACAAGAGCCACATAGGAAACTGGGGCTTCCTTTTGCATCCAGCTACCGAGGGATGGAATGAAAATCCTGCACTGGTAGTCTAATCCCAGACTTCCCAGTAAAAACATTTCACTTCCTCCCAGGCGAGCTCCGGGGCCTGTTCGCATGCAGAGGACAGGGGAGGAGGGCTGCTCCAAACAGGGGACACACTGGAGACTGGGGTCAGGCAGATGGGAGGAGCGGTCAGGTGCAACTTACAAGACCACAGAGACTACATGATGCAGGGCCTGCAGAGGACAGGAAAACACTCGGAAAGACGCAAGTGCAGAGGGAAAGTTCAACAAGAGGTGCTATTGTTGATGTGGTGTAAAGAAACAGTGCTCAAAAATGTACGACAAGGAAGCATGCAAAGTCAAAGCAATCAGATTTGGGTAAATGGTTTGATGAGAGCAGTAATGAAGTAGTTGAATGATGATCATTGAAAAATTATAGTATCTTTTGCATACTGTGAGTCACTATTTGGCGTTGTGGGCAAAGAGAAGAAAGGACAGGAAGGTTTTAAATTTCCTATCAGCTCCTCGCTGGCTCGCTGGTGCCCAGCTTCAATGTGGAACCATTGATTCATTCATTGATTGATTCATTCATTCATTTATTCATTTTCTACCCCTTTATTTGTCCATTTCTGGGTCGGGGGGGGGGCTCATAGCACTGGCCCCTCGCTGATCCTCTGCAGGTGGTGAGTCCACAGGAAGATGCTGCTACATCAGTGGAGCTACAGCCTTGATGTTTCAGCGGGATCAGGCAATATGGGGTTAAGTGTCTTGCCCAAGGACACAATGACAGTAGACATCAGTGGGAGTAGTTAGAGGTCCCAGGGTGGGCTTGAACCCGCAACCTTCAGGCCCAAGGGCCAATGCTCTACTAACTGAGCCATTAAAAAACATTCCAATTAAAATGACACGAAATGGATTTTATTATCCTTCTGATAAAGTTTTGTTTTAATAATAATGCCACTTCTTCACATTTAGCAGCTCACATACGAATATGAAATGGAACATTTTCTGATTTGACTGAGGCTCTTCTTGAGGTTAGCCCTGTTCTGCCCACACACAATGAGCTTAGTGCTTTTCCACGCTCCCAAAGCACAGGGCACCAAAAA